ATTACAACTTTGTAATTACATGTAAGTAACTACGAAGTATAGTTTAAACATATGTATCTAATAGGTACCACAAACTTCATATAAAAAATTATCTTAGCACCATGAACATATTATTTGCTTTAATTTCACAAATTTAGTGTGCAATTAACGATATGATCGAACTTATTTGTTAATGTTAATTCATTTCAAATATTATTATAGCTTAGATTAATAATTTCATCCTTATAAATTGTCCAAAGTATTTCAAATTTTACAATTTAGCACGATGAGTACATTTGTGAAAGGAAAAAAATATCAGGATGATGCCAAGATAAATGTTTATATAAACTTTAGATTACTTTTATTACATATATAAATTTGGGGTGCTTACTTCACACACTTACAAGTTTGGGGTATTCAAGTTATTTTTCTCTTAAAGAAAATGAAAAACAAGAAAAAAAATAGATTAGAGGAATATAGGGAAAATAATGTCGAAATATGGCAATGTGGCGCAACAAGAAAATAGAGCAAGTCAGCGTGATAAAAATGGGGTGCACCCATGAATATCACTGGATCGGCGTCTCGCGGAGAAGGCCTTCGAGGAAAATGTTAGGCCTTGTTTAACAATCGGCAGATAGTTGTTAGTTGTCGCATGTCGGCTGATCATGTCAACAATTTTTCAACAACTGATTAATTATGTTAGATGTTCTGATTGATTGGTTATAATAACTTATTGTAAATAAATGTGTGATATAATTAGATATTACCTGCTAGGGATAAAATAACGTTATAAGGACATAAACATAGATTATCATATTTAAATTATTGATAAGCTTAAATTCTAAACGTTCTTCAGCCATAAGAGTATAAAAATAATCTTAACATCAAGACGATGTGTGTATGAGAATTAATTAATTTATTTAATTTTCCTAATTAATTTATTAACAGTCATTTTTTAAAACTTTGTATGTACTTCACTCCCGTGCAACGCACGGGTGGAGTAACTAGCTACCCTAAAAAGAGAACATATGTTTTACCGCTTGAATATCATATTTTATGTTAAAAAAAATAATTACACACAAAGAATATAAATCCACCGAGGTAACATGTCAATAAATTCAAATCATACAGCACTACTGTTGTATATATAAAAAATAAAAATGAATAGAACATGAGATTTTACATGACGGAACCGAAGAGGCAAAGAGTACGAAGGATTTTTTTTTTAAAGAGAGTATGAAGGATCTAGTACTAATTAACCTCAAACGCTGCTCTACAATCTACATAGTGTTTATGATTTCAGTTTTTTGGAATCTTCGACTGAAATTTGTTGTTCTTATCTGGTCTGGTCTTATCTGGTTTAATTTGGTCTTGTCTGGTCTGGTCTTATTTGTGAATTGTGATATAAAGAAAAGTATAGCATCAAAATAAAGACATAATCATTTCTACAAATTTAGCTTCCCTAAAATGTTAAGCAAAATTTCTAATTTCCGCTAAACATGTATCACTAACAATGCCCACAATGCCTGCATTTAAAAAACATTAGTACAAAACGATGTCCACATTTCAGGTTTTTCAGCATATATGTGATATTACAATGCATAAATCATTGCACGTTAAGTAGCATTTTAACCAAGTGAAGAATAAAAGCAAAAGACATGTTAACAGTCTACACATTTCAGGATCCTCAGCATATGATATTGCAATGAGAACTAAACAATTTTTAATCAAAAGAAATAAGATAAGAGCCTAAGAGAGACATGAAATGAAATTACACCAAGGAGGCTAAGGGCTAGAAAGTTTTAATTGGGCTTGCCTATTACATAGCATTAGAAATTTAAAATAACCTACTAATTTCAAACGGGACACCAGAATGGGACATGATATCTTATAGTTGTCCTGGACTCCTGGTCCCATCCCAGTTGATATCGGTACGGGACCGGTTCGGGATGAAAAAATATATATCCTAAATGGATCGGTACAGGTCCGGAACGGTGTCGGTATTTTTCGATTTGGGGCACCATGAAAGGAATTTTTGCCCACCCTTGTTGTAAACCAGGAACGTGAACCGCTCTAGGACGGACAGGGCCGATCCTAGGCCCAAAACTAATCTTAATAGACCTGGTCTAGTCCCAAACAGCGTCAGACCCAATTTTGGACCGGGCCAGTCGAGTACCCGAAACTAAGCTGGTCAGATCCAGGCTTCGGGATTTCTTTCGGGCAGGGCAGTCTCAGCCCGAACGAACCGACCCGGGTTCATCCCTACTTTGATCATTGTCCAACTCATATCAATAATATTACTTTGATTGGTGGAATGTCTTTGATGGATCTGAGATATTGGGGGTGTTTGATAAATTACATTTCAGTCGAAAAATGACAGTTAGTTTAATCACTTTTAGCGTTTTCGATAAGTGAAAAAACTGTTTGAAAAATAGTTGTTCGGCACTAGCATTTTTGGACAGAAACGCTGAAATGAAAACGTTGTCAATAGGAGAGTTTTGGTTAGCGTTTTGAAATATGGCGTTTTCTACTCATTTTATGGCCAAACGGCTAATTTACCAAACATCTTATGACAACTCGCCAAGTTAGTCTGCTAGTCAAACACGCTGACTGAATCCGCTATTGATGACCCGCTAATATTATCCGCTAACGACTAACCGCTAATCGTTAAATACTAAACACGTTCATTGACTATTTAGAGCCCATTTGATAACACGAAAATCGACTGATTTGGCTAAGTTTGCTTAAATTTATGAATTTTTGGCTGAAGTGGCTGCATTGGCTAATTTTGCTGATTTAGAAAAAATTATTTTTAAAATATATTTTATTAATAAAATAATGAAAAAATTATATGTAAAAATAGAATAATGAAAATATTATATGTAAAAGATAAAAATAGCTAAAATGATTATCTACAGTAACTTCAGCCAATATAACCAGAAAAGTAACTGCAATCTTACTTTTTCTTATTATTACATAATTCAGCGCATAAAAACAAAAGTTACGTGTTTGATGAAAAACATTGTTACAAAACGGCCTTGTACAGTGAGTATGATGTTGATTATAAGATTGACACATACGTATGGGGTCACGCATGAGATGAGTTCAATTCTTTCAATTTTCGAAAATTATTTGAAGCATCATTACATAATGATTATGTTTCAACCTTTTCTGGGTCCTCGAAATGGTAGTGTGCATAAATTCTCTTCACCATGATTTTTTTGTTTGACAACTTCACCACAAATTTTTCAACCCTAGCGGACTATTACTATTTACTATACGAGTATACGGGACTACGGGTCACTGCCTCACTAGTGTGTGGGTAAATAACTAGAAGTTGCACAAAAACAGTCCAACTCTAAACCCTAGTATAAAAACCCACTAAACCCTAGTATAAAAAACCGAAGTGTAGAAATCTACAAAACCGGAGTTTCTCCTAGCTATAATTAGGGGTGGACCCCGTCTGACGGTCTCGCCCTATCCAGAATCGGTCCGCCACTGTTTGGGATTGGATGCGGTACGTTTAGACTGATTTCATACCAAGGACTAGTCTGTCCACCCTAGAGCGGTTCACAATCCTTATTTACAATTTTGGGGACCGAATCAGGCAGTTTCGATCAAGGTTTTAGTCCTGACCTAGTTTTTTCAAGCTTCGGTCTGGCCAAAAAACTATGAAAAATTAACGGGAACAGAGATTGGGACCGGTCAACTAGGTACTCAAAAGTCAAAACCGACCTAGACTCAAAACTAAGTGGGTCAAGCCTAGACTTTAGGATATTTTTCGGATTGGGTGGTCTTGGCCAGAAACTGAGGCCAGACCGACCCAGGTTCATCCCTAGCTATAATGAACACGGATGGGCCGGGTTTACCGTAATTGGTAAATGGAACCAGTTCAAATGATATTATATTCCTCTAAAGTAGTGCCAAAACTGATTCTTCCGTTTCTGTTCTATTTTAAATTAAAAAAAAAAACTAAAGAACCATGACTCGATGTCTTATTCCGGAACCAATTTTCCTAAAGTTATGATTGCTCCCGGGATGTTTTTACTTACTCTCATACTAGGTCAAACAAGAGCAAACCAAACCAGATCAAACATAAACAAATCAACCTTGATTTCAACACTTGTAAAATAGACCAGACCAGATCAATTAAGACCGAACCTATATAGACCATATCAGACCTAAGATGGGAAACAATCAAAATGAAAACTAAGTGAGATTTGTAATATACGACTATACGTAGTATAAAATAACACGTGACATCTTTCAAAAAAACACGTGAAATTGCCACCGATAAATGGCAAAATAAAACTCTGGATGTCTACTAAATTTATAGAATTTATTTATACACAAATCTTTTTATACCGTATTTACAGTTCCCACTAGATAAAAGGCCCGAGGTGAAAATAGGTTGTGAACTTGTGACACTATAAGTCTATAATAGACCACCAGCTTCAAGTCAATATAAAAGCAGCTGCCAGCAGTGGCCGATCTACCAAGTTAGTTTTAGGTGTTCAAATTTACTTTTCAAATTTTAGGTGTTCAAATTTATTTATAAAAAAAAATTCCAGAAAATTTATCTATGTATTCTTTTACAAAAAAAAAAATCTTTGGGTGTTCACATGAACTCTTTTGAACCCATATAGGTCCGCCCCTGGCTGCCAGCGAGCTTTACAGTTTATATAAGAGACATGCAAAAGACCAAGCGAACGAATAGAAATAAGCAAAAAGAAACATTGGGCCTGGAATTGAATGATTGAATCTATCGTCTTAACTCTTAAATAGCCGTAGCGGCAACAGTCATCTCGGTAGCGGCATGTAGCCGCTTGTAGCGGTTGCAGCGGTGTGAAATATTTTCAAATGTGCAAAACATATATTTAATGGGTGTTAAAGTTAATAGAAACATTATGAATATTTGTTTGTAACACTTATAACATTAACAACTAATCAATCAATAAGAATAATAGAATATGCATAATCTATAATAATACCACTTCCGTTCCAAATTGTTTTGTTAAGTCAACATTTTTTTGCGATAACCAATATTAAAGTTAAATCATTCTTATTAATAATTAATTCAGTTTTAATAATTAAAATTTACATATGTATTAATATTTGCTACCATAATGTATGTGGATACATCATACATGTACATTTAATTTAAAGTTTCACTCCATTCATCACCATTAATGTATTTTTTCACATCATGCACACAACTTTTACACATTTACACATCAACCGATGTACTGCCGGAAGTGCCGGTAGCGGCCTGTAGCGGGCGGCGTAGCGGATTTTTTCTGTGATTTGAAAATAACACCCTGATAGCGGCCCGTAGCGGTAGCGGTACCTACCGCGACTGCTATATAGCGGCCGCTATAGCGGTAGCGGACCGCTATTTAAAACACTGCTAGTCTTGACACTTTCTCAGCTTGAAAAGGTTCTACCTACACGCATCTATTCACCACCAGAAATTCGACAGACGTCTAGCTGTGTCATATGCTATTTGAAAGTAGTCTATAAAATCTCTGTGCAATGGCTGGGAGATTATGAGCTTCAAAAATCTCAACTAACGACTCGATTGCTAGGCTTATTATCTCTTTCTTTTGGTCATGGCTGGAACTGTATTCGGCATCAAACTGATCATTTGGCACCCCCAATGACAAGCACAGCCCTTTAAGCCACTCCTCAAGAAATGCTGATTTCTGTACATATAAGGGATAGCATGTATAAAAGCTAAACGTCTTTTCAGCTAAGAGGAAGAAAGTAGGATAGTATACATACTACCTATAATATAATCCCGAATACAGGGATTATTATATCAGTTGCTCCTGTAGGGTTTTCACATAATAAGAATAAAATATGGGTAGTAAAAAGGGAAAGTATTTTTTAAAGATGAAAGAGAAAGAAAAGTTGCTAACAAGGAAATTGGGACATTTAATAATAAATTTTCACAATGTTGAACAAGAATAGAATATACCTTGCATAGAAACTCATGCACACCACGATCATCAATTTGTGAAGACAGAGAAAGCACATGCAACATAGTCGAGGTCAACTGCACAAGTGAACCTTGAATTAAACAGTGGATTTCAAATACTAATTAAATATTTGTGCCGATATGATGGTACTCCCTCGTCCCAAAATATAAGATACATGTGGGTTTGGGTGAGTTTTAAGAAAGTAAAAAAAAAAAAGAGTTTCTATTTGACAGCAGTAACCTTCTAAAAGAAAGAAAAAGTAATACGACTCCATATAAAATAAGAAGGATAGTGAGAAAGTAAAAAGTTTGTGGAATTGAATTTAGAAAATGTTCATTAATTATGGGAAAGCGAGAAAAAGAAAGTGCATCTCGAAATGAGACATTAATAATACACAACAGCCAAATTTTTATGTGTATAATAAAGGCAAAAAGATATTATATCTTTTTAAATAGGCCAACAACCAATTTTTTGATCACCCATTAAACAGTTATACAATGAGAAGGATAAAAGATACAAGGAATCGTAAACTTGCGTCCTTTCACTTTCAGCAATCACTATACAATGAGAAGGATAAACGCAAATTCATTTTAAAAAACTATCTGAAACATATGGTGCATAAATTAAACAGCTAAGGTAAAAAAGTGAAAATGAAACAAAATAAATTGATAGAAAATATCTAAAACTACAGAGCACTAAAATAGTAAAATCCAAACACTAAAAAATGAAGGGAAAGAAAAAATATCAATGACTGTTGATACTGAAAAATTGATACCTGCTTTTCAAGTGCAACTCTATACTTCAAATTTGACGGTACTGAGATCTGGTCTGACCTCAGGTTCTCAATAACATGTTCTACGCCTTGAAGGACATCAACAAATGATCTTCCATAATCTGAAACATCAAAGTTTTTATGATGATGTCAATGACGACTATTCATCCTTTCTTTGACAGTAGCACTTTCTTATTAACTTGCTTCATAAAGATAAGGTCCATAATTCAATATAACTTGCACCAAGACACTGAAGAACAATAACACTGAGTGTCTGAGTTGCATAAAAAATAAAACAACAACAACAACAACATCCAAGCCTTGTCCCAAAAGATATTGGGGTCGGCTAACATGAATCGATACATGATATCACCATCAAAAGAAAAAGAAAGAAAATAAAGATAAAAAAGATAAGCTACTATAAAAAAGATAATATAAAAAGAGATGAATATACCTAGAAATGATAAAATAAAAAGGATAAAAATAATGTTTATATATATGAGGATAAAAGGATAAAAAACAAAAAAAAGAGGGGAAAGATAATACGAGATCACTCCTCCACACGAATACCCGCCCTCCACTTTGCTCTCTCTAAAGCCATAGCATAAAAAATAAAAAAGCGTAAAAATTTCATCCTAAAAACTGAGAAGTTATTGGGAATGAGAGTATGAGACCATAGGAATTACGACAAGCTTTAGACAACTTCGTGAGCGAGGGTTATAAAAAAATCACCTTTGATGGTCGCTGGAACAGCCAAAGCTGCAGCTGCTTGTATCCTAATCTTAAAATTAGAGGAATTACGTAGCAGCAGCAGAAGAATGCTAAAAACTGACAGTGCCCTGCAAATCCGCACGAACCTTTTACATTATGATAATTATCTATGATAAATTGCAAGTAAATTATTATTCATGCAGCATTCTAATATTGTCAGCAATGCCAACATCAGAAACATGCTTGCCAAAACTATATCAGCAATATGATTTAGACATGGGTCATGCTTATCAGCAATGTCATCCACCGAAGACAGGCCTAGAGGCCCATGTAGAGACTATCACTGCGGGGCACACCGAAAGTGGCTGATTGGGCCAGCCAAACTGCCAGAGCTGCCTTTTGGGCTATGCAAATCAGTCCTAACTCATTTATTCTTGTTTCAATTTTAGTTAGATTAGAAGTCTATTACTCTATCAGCTCTTAGATTTCTTTATACTAATAAGACTTATAAGGGTCATCATTAGTATTGAATAGAGCACTTTCAGGAGAATTAATTATTGTATATCTTGACTAGGTCGGGCACAAAATTAATTCCGATAAAACATTGTAACTTTCATTTCCGTCTATGCTTATTATAGATCGCAAAATTAATCTATCTGCCTGCCCTAGTTCGCTTCCACTTTTTCGCTCTCAACCTTGGACAAGATCTTGCGAGTGCACTCTCAACACCATACTCCCATTGCACTTTATATTTATATTTTCAACCAAATGCAGCAGCTTATTAAGATTAAAAGTGTTCTATGCTTGATCCAAGCCGTGGGCCAGCACAATGTTACTGCTTTTTTCTCATGTAAGAGTCTAACCCACTAAATCGATAAAATGGAGAGGTATTTATTGTAGAAGAGGCTCAGTGGCAATGCCAGGTGACCAGGTCCCACACCCTCATTGGGAAACAGCTTGTCCTTTCCTGCAGGCTGGCAAATTACGTGGTTTTTACTAAATGCGCAACCTAGCCCCTGCCCATATGTCAGTGTACATGATGACCTAATACTTCTGGTAGCTCCAAGGCGGTGTAGATGAGCTATCAGGATGGCCCTCGACCCAGTGCAATTTGGTTGGGCAGAGGTATATGGTGGCTTCAGGCCCACTACCTGAGGTTCTGGATCCTTCCAGTGTTGGGCTGAATATTTTCTGGGCCAATAACCCAAAAAATAACATGTAATCTAACTTCAAAAACTTGCAATATGGAACTTATTCAGGTAATTTCGTCCTTGACAATACCTATCCCAAGTGATAGAAACACAGCATCAAACACATTCCCCATAATGTAAATAATAAATAATACTAAAAGCCTTCTTTTCCAAGTTCAAATATTCAGCTATCAAAGGGAACTGCTAGCATAATGAGAAAAAATAATCTTAAAACGAGGAAAATTAGTTGTTGTGTACCAGTCCATCTCTTGCAATTTTAACTTTTCATTTAAAAATAAGTTGCTTAGTGCATGACAGACATTCCACTGAACCTGCAACATTAATCATATGTTAAGCATAGCAGATTACTTAAATAAATGACTTCCAGTGATAGAGAGCAGGAGTGGTAGTTAGTACTGGGGATATACCGTCCATAACAAAATTCAGACAAATAAATAAATTAAACTCACTCCTAGTCTCCCACCCCCCACATCCTACAATAGTTCAATTTACTGTAATGGGGATATACCGTCCATAACAAGTTGGATTAAATTTCATCTATCACCAGAAGAATCGCATAATTGTGGTGTAAATTTTAGATTTTAGGAATTTCAGCACTTCTGAAGATACTAAAACGAAATTAAACTACTATTTGGGACATAGGAAGTGTATCTTTATATTGAGGACATTAAGTTCATACAACCTCCATCCCACTAAGATTAGGACATTAAGTGACACGACTACTAAGTAAAGTGGAATTATGTTGTTGGTATTGAGTTTGTAAAGCATGAATAAAGTGTGAATTACTTAGACCCTACAAATATTTTCAAAGATGGTATGGGACACATTTAGTCGGACGGAAAAAAAGGGAAAGACGGACAAAGATAGTGGGACGGAATGAAGTATTATGTAAGAGACTACCATGGTAATGATAGATTATTGTCGTCACATAAGCAACTTGAGGTAAATACATTGCTATTTTAGTTCCTCCTTGGTGTTAGGTACTTTAACATCTTGGTGTTGTCATAAAAAGCTTTGAATAGAAACCCAATGGATATCATACTAAAATATGAAACCCAATGGTCACAACAGAAACTAGAATAGAAATATCATACCAATTACCGAACAGACATTATTTTTTGGGAAAAATCTAGTTTGCACTGTATAGTTACTTCGATATTAGACTTTGCAGGCCATTTTAAAATCCATTAAATTTTCACTCAACTCATGATTTGATCCTACTAATTAATAGACTAATATATTTAGGAATCTGCCTAATATATATTTAGGAATCTGCCTAATATTTATTTAGGAATACTTTGTATTTTGGCAACTCCTCTATTATAAATATATCTGTTAGGACTCCTATTGGAGTACCTCTTTCCCATTATTTCACATGGTATCAAGAGCTCTAGGTTTGTAGATACAAATTTTTCTTTTTTCGGTTCCTATGAACCTTATTATAGCCGCAGCTGAGTTGGAGTCGACTGCCGCCACATTTACGGTAGTCTTCGATCCTTTGAAGATGAGCGCGGCAAATATGGCGCAGATCACCTCCTTCGCGTCGCTGAACACGGTGCTTGCTTCCAGCGTGCCGTTGAGTTCGCCGCCTGCTGCTGCCTATGTCCGCGTAGCCCACCTTCTCTGCGTCGCTGACCACGGTGCTTGCTTCAAGCGCGCTGTTGAGTTCGCCGCTTGCTGCTGCAGACATATATTCTCATGGAGATCATAATATCAAAGATGTGCTTTCTAATCTTCCGCTCACGGATATATTTACTAAGAGTTTTTTTAGTTTGCAATTTCATTTTTTAAAAGACAACCTGCGCGTTGTATCTCCCGCACAGTTTGAGGGGGTGTAATAGACTAATATATTTAGGAATCTGCCTAATATATATTTAGGAATCTGCCTAATATTTATTTAGGAATACTTTGTATTTTGGCAACTCCTCTATTATAAATATATCTGTTAGGACTCCTATTGGAGTACCTCTTTCCCATTATTTCACACTAATTATATACATATAATTAGGACCGAATAAAAAGAGGCCTTAATGTGAGAAATGAGAAAGATTTTCGTGCATTGGATTTTAGATCGGATGGCTCTAAAATTGCAACAATGCAGCAAACTGAGTTAAAAACGTGTTGGCAATTTCGTAAATAAGTGAAAGTTTTTGCCACTGGAAAAGTACAGTATTTGAGCCTTAAAGTGCAGTGTAGCGAAGTAAAAGTGAAGATTTCGCATTTCTCACGTCAAGCACTCTTTTTATTTGAACCGCACCCTACATAAGTGTGTGTATGAATAATTATATATAGTGGGGTCAAATATGTAATCTATCAATGGGGTGCGCAAAGTTTAAGATATATAGTATTAGTTTTGACTTTTGAGGTTTGGGATGTAAAAACAAATGATTTCAAAAAACAGGGCGCAAAAACAGACTTGCAGAGTTGCAGACAACTAGATTGGCTAAAGATCCCCCCAACCCCTTAAAAAGAAAAAAAAAATACTATAACTAACATTGTTCAATGTTGCACACAGTATAGTATTATACCTACAGCACACAATGACCCCCCTAAACAGCACACAATATAGTATATAGCTATGGCACACAATTAGCTTACAACTATACAAGACAGGACATCTCCCTGAACACTGATCTCAAGCCAAATTGTAAGCAAATGGTGGGGGTGGGGTGATTTACCTTGACATTTCCGGTTGAAACACAAGAAAGGAATGTTTGAACCATCTTTTCCAGCCAATGTGATTCCTCCAACAGTTTCCTGTTTGAATTTGGACAGTTTCTTGGATCGTCACTCCTATGGATCTTTTTACAGAGTTACATATTAGAGGTTCTGAACAATTTCCTGACCTGTCATAATCACTTGAATGACTTTTGAATGGAACAAATCTAGCCAGGTTCCCCAAAGCTCTCACAGCATTTGCTTTAATCTGGAATCATGCATAAATAGAAAAATCTAATGAAGGAAATTGAAAGAAAAAAGGCAGTTATAAACCTTGAAATTGATTCACATTTAGTTAAGCTTAAAATTGCAATTAATAAGTCTAACTTGTCGAAAATAGAAATGATCAAATGAACACGCCTACATAATAAAAAGTAATTCAGGGTGATAAATTATTACTGTTTAGGCAAGCTTATTGTTAGTTGTCCAGATTTGATAGTTCTTACTATTCAAGCAGTTTTGAGAATTAAACATTCAACTAACAAAACAATAAAGTTATTTAACCAGACCAATGGTGGATAAAGACTTTAATAGCCGAAGCCTAAGGAAGCTCCAAGCTATCAACGTTACAAAATGAAATCATGTCTCCTGATTTCGCACATATCCTCCTAATTCAGGTCATACATGGGAGGGCTTCAGGATACTTAGCACATAGATCTGATTATATACGTTAAGGCAAACACACAAACACACACGCCTCTCCAGACATACAATAAAACAATTTAACTTAAACCCCTGGTGGAGGGGGTAGATAAAAACATGAAAGAATGCTATTAATTCATGGACCATATCTGATGATTACATTATCCATTGAAAACATAACTTCACGAATCCAGAAGAACAAGTAGAAGCATCAGCTGAAAGAAGTGCAATCACCTTGTCATTATCTTTTGCAAGTCTCAAACTACTGTCAATTAGCAATGAGATCCACTTAGAACTTGCTTCTGAATCTATCACATGATTGTAATTGCAGTCAGTGGAGGCCCAGACTACATGCCATAATACCAGAACAAAAGATAATAAACTTAGGGAGATCACACTTTTGGTCTCCCGTTTATCATGCAAATTGAAATTTAGTCCATGGCTTTTAATTTTTGCAAATGTCGTCCCATAAGTGTGCAATAAATTGCAAATCTGTCCTTTTCATTTTGCAGTTAATAATGCAAAAAGCTCTGTTATTTTTTGAATATATTTCCCTTTGATAGTGTAACATGTTGAAATAGCATCCCTCAATCTAGCAATATGTTGTAAATATAGTCCCTACCGGTACCAATGTATAAATGGAGTTGGTTAAACTATTAGTGTCCAAGACTACAATTACAACAAGAACCACATTTAAGGGATCACATTCACTTATAAGACAGGGACTACATTTCAAAAAGAAGAATAAATGGACAAGAAGTGTGATTTTTCCATAAATTATTAAATTATAATCTCACCCGAAGTATGCTGATCAAGGCCATGTACATCAACATAGTGGCAAAGGGTATCACATATATTTGCTATAGCCCAGGAAGCTGTTATACGCACCTGAAAGGGATACACTGATATCCTATGAATATGAAAGCATGTCAAATAGCACATTCTGAGAGTAGAGGAGTGGGATAAGAAATAACATACCGGGACCAATGTATCGTGGCTATTGTGCTCAGCAGCATAGATAAGCTTTTCAAAGATCTCTGCACTATATATTAGATCAGTGTAAGGTTCATTCACTTGTTTGCAGAAAATATAAATTAATAACCTCCACAAGCAAGCAAACTAATTACCTATCAAAAATTTGTGGGAAACAAGCAATTACACCAATAGCACGGCAAGCAGCTGATCTAACTAAAGGAGCATCATCAGTAACAGCAAAGCTGATCTACAAAGATGGCAAAAAGCATCACAACTCATAATGTCAATCTTGGTTATTAGTAAAAATAGTTGAAGACTGAGTACTTACCAAAGAACAAATGATGAAATCCTGTTTTTCTTTTGGCATATAGAACCATACCGAAGACGTTATTCCAGCAAAACATGTAACTGATGCAGCCCTTACCTTGTAGACAAATCAATCGATTACAGTTCGAACAAGTGTAAATTGCACATTATTTATTCTATCAAATTCAAAAGTACCAGCAAAAAATGCTTATTTGTTTGTCATAGACACTGCATTTCTCTTGATATCATAACAAGGACTAGGTAAGCACCTAACTGTACTAATATAATTTGGTATCCAGCAAGCAAGCACTTGAAAAAAACAAAGCTCAGTCATAAAAGAAGTATTAAAAAAAAAGATGCTTCTAATAAAGGAAACACGGTATTATAGCAAATGAATCAGCCAATAAAGTTAGGGTGTCATTTGTACGTTAGGAGGACTGTTAGTTATGTTAGCCTTAGAAATTTGTCACGGTTTTGGTTTTTAGAGAGGGTAGGCTCAAGTTTTTGGGATTAATAAATCAATGGTTGCTATAAGTCTATAACTAAATGCATTTCACATATGGGAGGAGGTCTATATGGCACACCTGTCAGAGTTTGTTGGGGAGGGGGGTGACTTCATTTGTAAACTCGAAAGGTCTCTTTAAGTCTTGAAGAGTCTGCCTATGCCTCATTTGGGGATTTGAGTTGTGTGATTAGAAAGCTCAATTTGAGTTCAAACAAAGTTGGTTACTCTGTTATCTATAGACATCACGAGCTTTCTTCTTGTTGTTCATATTGACGACATTGCATCCATAGGAGTTCGGAAGGTTCGTGAACATGACGATAGTGTTTGTTTTGCAACAAACAACTTCTAGAATTTCAGATTTTTTCTATAGATTGAAGTTGCAAGGTCAAGGAAAATAATTCACATGTCACAACATAAGAGTGATCTGGATGCACTTAAAAAAGGGTGCTGGATTGCAACCACTTGACAATACCATGGACCCCAATGTCAAATTCTTAGTTTCCTACCAGATCGGGGAAGGGGGAGTCTGATCCAGGGAGATATATGAGGTTGATAAGGAAAGTGCAATATCTTGTGGTTACCTGTCTTGCTCGTCCTGATATTTATTTTTCTTGTAACTTTGTAAGTTTTATGAGTGATGAGTCATATTTAGCATCTTCAAGTGAGACTTTAAGATGTTTTCATCCAAATCCCAAGATACTTTCAGAAATCATCCAGCACAGCTTATGACTGGGCTGGTTGTGCATTGGAAATCTTAAAATTGTTGGTAACACAAATGACTGGCTGGTTGTGCGTTGGAAAACATCTGGACTTTTAAAAGTACTCTCAAATGACATGTTTAAAAGTTGAAATTTTACACAAATACATAGTCCTAGTCTCCTAGAGACCTTTACTTTTATGACTGAAACAACTTTCTATATAAACTATAAACAAAAGGGAAATTTCCTGAAATAGGAGTAAAAACATTTTGGAATTCCAAAATAGGAGTGTTGTGTTTTTATTCCCTACAAAGAACTGATAGAATTAATTAGTGCCAAGCTTTAAAAATACTGCCATGTTTAAAGCCGGTAATGCCAAAATAATGAAATATGGCAGTAAATCCAGTAATTACTCCTAGGGTCGTCTAATAAATTTGGAGGCCCAGCATTAACATAAAAATTAAAAACAAAATCTCAATCTAAATACTTATACTCAAATCAATTGAATACTCATTAAATAATGTAATAAAAGTTACTTAATACTTGATTTAAAGCAACACAACTACACAACTGATCATTACTCAAGCAACTTGAGTAAAAGAGGACTAAAAGGACCGATTTAAAAAATGATGGATCTGTATTTTTCTTCCTTGCTAACTGTTTTTTACCGATTAGTATTAAGTTATTAACTATTACGGAGTAATATATAATATTACTATATATTACTAATAAGTTTTTAAAAATTGGGGCCTCAGAAATCTGGGGGGCTTGTTCTGTATAACCTATTGAACCTCCTAAAAAATGCATCTCCTATTTAGGGAATAAAAAACAGTAGTCCTATTTTAGAATTCTCAAATGTTTTTACTCCTATTTAGGACAATTTCTTTGCACAAAACTGTGGTTTAAATCTTCCGCTTTTCTCAAACACTTTTGTAGAACTTTTTAAATTACTACTTAACGATTTTTCGCTTATATTTATTATTTTATAATTTTGGAAAACTTCTGACCATGCAGTGCTCACGATTCGAATGTGTTCCTACCATATCCACTATGTTCTTCAATTCGAATGTGTTACCCCTGTGCTGCAAAGGCTGCCCCACCTACGGTGGGGGGGGGTAAGGGGGTCAGATGTACACAGCCATACCCCTGTACTAAAGCACAGAGAGAATGTACTCAAGTGATGTTAAAAATTTGTGACCCAATTACAGCAGGTGGAAAGGAATATAAAGTCGAGTAATCCTACGATCCAAATTGCGGTTTCGACTACCATGCTCAACAGCTATGTCGTGTATATTTAAATGTTCAGCAACTATGAAAAATCACATAGCAAAAGTAGAGAATAATAGAATACCATCATTGCAGCAGGACCAATGTTACTTTTGAACCAGCCTATGCTACTCTTTTAGCTCACATGATGCAGATTCATAAAACACTATTACCTCCTATTGGACTGAACATTTTGTAACAAAGTATTTAAAAATCAAGTTAAAGGGTTTCTATTGTCAACCGAGTTTTCAGGAACAATTGCAATAGTGAAGTGAGGGTCTACTTTCCTGTGTTACTGACTCAAATCTATCTGAAGTCAAAATGCTTACAGATTCAAATTCAAATATGTAAACCTTTAATTTTCCTTATTTAGAAAAAAGAAAAAAAAGATATGGTAATTATATTTGGAAAGAAACTGAAAGGGATATACTCCAACTAACCATGACAGAAGCATGCTCAAGTATAAAAGGCATATGCCTATCAATTAACTCAAACCACTGTTCACTTCCTGACGGAGATTCAGCTCTGTCTTTAGTTGTTACATAACTCTGCATCTCATAAGCTGGAGCTGATGAAATAGTTTTTGTTTTCACTAAATCAGACATAAATGGGTTCTCGAGTGATTTATCACTGAAGAGATCTTCAGTTCCTTTAAAACCAGAGGCAGCGCGAAGACATTGATCTAAAACCTGCATGTACATCTGTGTCAAAATTTTGAAACTATAAAGTATACCATGATCAGAGGTCCAGAACAACGCACGCATTACTGTTAGGAACAAAATCCATTTTAAAGAGAGAAGTCAGGGAACATTTCCTTTTTTGCATACAACACAAATGAAGAGAGGGTTTTCATTCAAGAGAGGAGAATTGTAAAAAATGCACACAAATTACTACAAAAACTCCTCATCCTGCAATTATGCATGCATTAATCAATAATGATCATTAAGTGGTATAAAAGTACATGGTCATGTAAGCTGCGTGCACATAAGACAGTGAATGCATCATGATGCATAGCTAACACAATATGAGAGGTCAGAGCAGACAACAGGAGGTTAGAAACAAAGCAGATCCACATGCAGACAAAAAAAAATCATAAGTTTCATGTCTTCGTGGGAAGAAAGAAGGGAGAAAGAAAGTCCATATGGGAGGGAGAAGAAAGATGGAGATGGGGCCAAAGAACAAAGGAGATAGGGGGAGGCGGGCAGGAAGAAAAAGGGGACAGAGAATGAAAAGGAAAGAGAAAAGAAAACGGCAAAAATGACACATGGATGCCACGTTAGCAGAATCACCAGCAACTGAGAATCAACCGGCTAGATTAGAAATTTGATCGATTTTGTATAGTTTACGGACTTAATTGAGTGTTTTTTTTACTTTGAGGGATTAATTGACTTTTTCAGTCTACTTCGAGGGCCGATTTGACAGTTTTTCCTTTGAGTAACTGAGGGAGTGAATTTAGGTTATTAGTTTTGTACTTTTGTTAACTCCATAACTGATATAATCCATTTGAGGACTAGGGAACTTACAGAGTTACAGACTTGGTCAAATGATTTATGTCCCTGCTTGAAGAAGGTTGTTAGAATATTATAACCCTAATTGTAGCTCTAGCTATAGCCCATTATGCGGTCCATGTAATATCTATATATTCATTTCTCAGCAGCACATCAGTATGAGAATGAGTCTTATGATTATAATTTATACAAATTTCTTTAGTCCGCTTAAATTTATAGCTTCAAGCCTCTTCGGTGGGTGGTCAACATTTACCACTGCCTAGACCTTCAAACCCTTAGTTTTAACACCTCTGAGTTGGTGAAAAGATTTATATAATTTTTAAGTATCACAAATATATAATCTTCAACAAATAAACACAGACCAGAACTCATAAATCCATCATTCTAAAAAACTGCCTAGACAGCCACTAGGCTTCCATAGCGGCATAGAGTAACTCACTTCTAGCTGAGGTAGACGCCTAATCAGGCGCTCTTAAGACTATAGTTAGCTACCACTGTGAATATGCTGGCAAAGTTTAGAGCATCTAATACAGCTAATGAATAGAAAGATGACACTCACCTTGATGGCAGCTGCGATGGCTTTCTCACCAGGCATATTATCTCTCCAGGTTCTAGTTTGAGTGTCAACAGATGCGCTTAGATATCGGTATGTTAAAGAGGAAACCTTTTCCCAGCACAAAACCATTACACTTGGATGGCTGTGAGTCACATTTTTTAGGGCCTGCAATAAACTGTGTCAGCATATAGCATCATGCAACAATTTACACTGTAGTCAGAGTATCCTTCAATGAAAGGTCGACTAAATAAAACAAGGATTATCAATCAACTAAGAAGATCTTCAAGCTATTATATTTCAAGAAAAAGTTAATCAAGACTTCAAGACATGAGATCTAATATATATATACATGATTCTACATTTTAAGCATGTGAAATGAGAACGTATTGAACTTTTTAAGGCTAGCTTAACATACTTCCAGCTCACAGTAAAACAATTTATTTTAAACATCTCAATGAGATGTTTAAAAATGCCTATTGAGGCTTGGAGTTCCATTTTAAAAGATTAACCTGATAAGAGAATTACTTCATAATCTTATATAGTTCATTACTTCATTAGTTTATTATGTTATGCCAAACCGGGGGTGAGACTAGTACTTCAACTGGCCCCCTTAATTCAAACTGGGTGGACAACTTGAACATGGATAAATGGGCCCTATATGAGCTACCCTAAATGATAGGTATTGAATAAAAAATAAATCCGTAACCCAACCTGGCTCAAATACCAACTTGAAAGGGTTGAAAATAATATATGAACAACTTGAGTAATTTGTTTACAAGCACAAACCCTTTGACTTAGGGAAAGAATCAAAGAATAATTACACATAACCATATTTATCCTAAGCAGTGATAAAATCTCATAATGACAGTATCAATCTTAACATATCTCAACAATGCCAACACGACGTATACCAAGAAAATATTTGGCATTACATGATGTTGCACGGGAGATGAGACATATCAGCTAAATTACCTTAAAAATGGTCATAACACACTATGGCTATATATGTTCCATATTTCCATGACACAGGAAACCCAGCAAAACATTGCAGAATGCTTTCGGCATAAACCACACTTTTCTAAGAGAGAGAGCAAATATGCAGGCATAGGGAAAATATAAAGGAAAAGAATGGGTTGGTGGAATGGTGGAGACCGGGGATCAAGAGCTTGGTGCCATGTAAAGATTGTTTCACAAGACAAGAAAATTTGTATCTCATTCTCACATTACATATTTACACTGTCATAATTTGCATGGAAACAGATATATATATATATATGGGCTGAAATAGGACAATGGCTATAAAAATATTATTCTGCCCTCCCCATCCTATGAAGTGGGGCAAAGACACTAAGCATTCCCAACTTATTTACATAAAGTAGAGATACTGAAGTAAAGTCATAATCCACTTGACTCAAAAAACTGAAAAAACTACTTCCAATCTTTTAAAAAAATTGCCACGCCTAGAAACATGATAGACTCATGATTCATCCACACAATAAACACAAGATGGTTTTACACAAGTGTTAAAGAATGGTACTAGTATATATACTCAAGACAGCTACGAAACAAGAAACAGAAGCATATAAATCGCTAAGGCCTCTCATGTCAGCTATTCAACTGTATATTTTGACTGCTATATATTTTCATATAGTTAATTTTTTTATAATCCTCAACTCTGGCTACGTTTAAATACGAAGCTGTCAACTAATCATTTCTTAAACACATGATACTTTTCTATGCAAGTGGGAAAACCTTTATTAATGACAGTTTTGGAATCGAACTCATAATTCCTTATTTAGAAGGTTGCAACAGGACAGGGATCTGGCATAAACTTTGACTTGAAATGCTCTTTTGCATTAGAAATGTATAACATTAGCTAATGTAAGACAGCTAATTGACACTATAAATTTCATTACAGACTTTAGTGTAGTTAGGACTTAGGTGGCAGTGATGATGGTGATGAATTTGTCCTTGACTAAGCCACATTTCGACATATAGTTCTCTATTACTCATTGTCCCATTTTAGTAGTAGATCTCCCTAATTATTGATTTTTATTTAACTCCACTGAAACTCACTTCAACACATTCAAACAACTCAATGAGGATTTGAGCATGAATATTGTGCAAGAAATCGGCTGCAGGAGAAAATTTTAGTGATTTTCTGGCGTCAACATTGATGATCCCACCGTGTCGAGATAATCTTTAACTTTTAGCTACCAGATTTTGAAAAAAAGGACAATTTGAAATGCAGGATCAAAACTAGAATTGTCATCCAAGTCAAGCTTAAGAAGTGGTCAACTCATTGGGACTAATATGAAAATACGATAGTCAAGGAAAAAAGTTGTTCACAACTCTACTTTTATACTACTTCCCAAGGATCTGCCCTTTTGCAAAAATATTGTTGTGAACAGAAAAAAATAAAATCAACGGTATGAACCGTTGCCCGATAATCAATGATAAATAAATACCGTTGCCCAAAGCCAAAAGGCTAAAACAACTTTTATTCCAAGATGAGCATGAATGAATCCTAACAAGGGGTTTAAATACCCATCTACTAATTCTTAAACTAGGAAACAAAATCCTAGAAGTCCTAATCAACTCCAACTAGGAAACAAAATGATAAAGATCCTAATCAACTCCAACTAGGAAACAGAATAATAGGGATCCTAATCAACTTTAAATAGGAAACAAATAATAGAGATCCTAATTAACTCCTAATAGGAAACAAATCAGGATAATTAAAAAGAATAAATATTAATTAAGCATCCCGCAACCAGCCCACGAAGGTGGGATCAAGCCCGTCCCCGCCTTCAGTAAACCCACGGAGGCTTCTGCCCCTGTTCTTCCAAGCCCAGATTCTGCTTCATATCAAATATGTCCTTGCATCCCCGGCCATCTTTTGGAGTTTAGAGCTTTGGGACTAAGCAAGATATTTAGTTTTGCTAAACCATACCTGGAGTGCCTCAAAGCTTATCGAAGGGCTTGTTTCTGGTTCAGAATATTGAAATAAGATTGATAAAACGCCTGATTTTTGGCTGACAAAACCTGGAAAATATGCACACCAATACTTATTTCATATGAGGTAATATAACCACCCATTAGAACCGCGAACATGGTTGTAAAGATTGAGGCGTGAGCCAGTGCTGGTACCCCGTAGTGAAAAATCAAATATGTATACAGCATGCCAACCATTCATTTAATTTAAAGCATAAATAATATGTTACGGAGTAAAAGCTAACATCATATATAACCACAACATAGTTCTAAACTCAATGACAAGGCCACAGGTGCTTGCTGCTAAATTTCAAAAGGGAAAAAAACCTTAGATAATATCATCACCCATCGGCCAATAATAATACATACTATAACAATTGCTTTATATAAAACCAAGAACGTTATAACAAAAATGATAGGAAGACATATGTCGATCATAAATCCAGCCATTTAAACCATCACATAAATGACCGGATATCAAATAATGCTGATTTAATGGTTTGATATCAGTTTTTATGGGTTAAATAATCGGATTTGTAGTTCAAAAAGTGGTTACGAATCATTTACATTATATATTCAAATAGTTGGTAGTATTTATCAATTTACAGCAACTTTTATAGAATGTGTTAATATTGGTCGTTGGATGATATTTGGTATTATTTAGAATTTTAAAATATTAAAAAGTATTCAAAATATATGATTAGCAAAGCATAGAGCGTAGTCAAACAAAACTTAGGCCACAACTAGGTGTCTACACACATTGAAACTGTGGGGTCAGATTTCTGTAAATAAGCCAATCAAGCTAAACAGCCAAATGCTCAGCAATAATTTATTCAAACCACTATTCTCTTTGTCAACCTTAGTGGAAATAAGGAAGTTGTTCATATGAGTCATATTCTGTTTGTAAATTATTTCTTCGCACACTGGTTCTCTGGTTGCAGCTGCACATTACATCTATGTATCCAATAATCCGGCTGTGCATCCCACCTCAATTTAGGCATGTGATGGACCAATGCCGCATAAATCTATACACGCAGAGAAATAATATTGATTTCTCCTTGTTGTACTTTTATGAAGAAAGTGCTTAGTCTATAGTGCGGCCATGTGAACCTGCCTACATGCAGAAACGCAATGGAAAGGTGCCTAGCTTACGCCCTTCCCTACATGACCGTGGTATTGCCGTACAGGAGCTTTGGCACTGGGTAGCGGGTACGTACTTATTTACCCTTCGAACATTGCAATATTGAGAAATCGAGAAGTCAGGCAGGACAGCAAAAAAATTACCTTTTGTCACTTCTGCGAGAAGCATATCTTTGACTGGTGTTGAGAAAGCTGATGAGGATAAAGCTGCACTCAAGCAGTTGATAGCAGCTGCCTGCAAAATGATTGTCAGCATTCTATTGCCAAATGAACTTGTTTGACAGCTAAATTATTCTCAAAAAAAAAAAACAGTATCTAATTGGACTTTATCGGCAAATTATGAAAGCATGCACATTTTCATACTATCATGAACGCATGAGTACTGTCACAGCAACTATGTTTGAATACTAAAACTTTAATACATGAATGCACGGTTTCGCAACTCATAAAATAGCACAAAGAAAAACACTTTCTGTATTATAAGAATCTTGTATAAACCCCCATATATTTTAAAAAATGATTTATTAGAAATTTAGATAAACTTATAAAAGTCAAAACAACTTAATTTATATTTGTAAAGACTGAATGAGTTTTTTACAGTACAAGTTTTTCTTAGTTATGGATTGAGCTTGAAGCACTGGCCGTTTCAGATTAATTTCTTTCTCAAGTATGAAAATAATCATATATCAAGCACAACTATCGTAAACTTGTGGCTTCACCGCGATTCTACTAGATTTCTAAGAGTTGTCTCTACAAATGGAGAATGCATAAATCCCAGGCATTGATTCATTTTAAAAGCAGTTCTTCTTAGTAAAGCTAGTCTTATTTATGGTTTCAAATGGTAACCATAGCTGATAATATCATGTTACAAGACAATTCACTGTCAGTGTCAAATTCATGATTCCAAAAAAAAACTGAATGCATGTACAATTTCTGGCACAGTTAGAATTTGAGTTTCACTTAATAATCTCCTTCATTATACAGAGAGATAAACTAGGCTAGACCCCTTCTGCACATTTAGAATTTGAGTTTCACTTAACAATCTCTTTCATTATCATAGAAATGGGAGATATTTTGAACTTTGTGCTTCAAAACTATACTAGTAAATATAGCACTAACCAACAAGATATTCTGATCGCTTCGAAATGAGAAGCCCTCTTCAACTCTACTTTGGATAGAAGAAATAATGGTTGGCAACAATTCTGGTGGCATTCTTGAATATCTGTAAATATGGACTCCACATATCAAATATTAAAAGTTTTACATAAAAGAAAAGAGATGAGGCATTGTATTTATGGCTGTATAGCCATATGCAGAAGGTAGTAATTTTCCTCAGTAACTATACTACACAATAAATCATTCTCTTGCTATTTTTATCTCATCAATGGCTGATTGCTTCAGTAGGTAATGACCATTAAATGACTAAAGTGCCTCTAAGGCCACTAGATATGAAAGCAATGGGCTAGAAATTGTGGCTTTCTAAGAATTCAGTAATTCATAAAAAAGTATTACAACATAATCTCTAGCCTTTTAAACCAGGGGAAACTTTGACAGCTACCCTGGTTGGTATCTATGTGCTCATGTCACCCATATGTAAAACTCAGTAATGAATGGCACTTCTGTTTCGTTCTTTATCCAACCATTGAGACCTCATGTCTGTCACTAGAACTAGACATAGATAGGACATTCAAAGAAAATATGAAACTCCAAAAGTGTCTCCAAGTAGAGACTAGAGAGAATAAGAGATGAGATGATATTAACTTTTGCCCAGAAAAATCTGACTAACATTTTCAACTTCTTTTTAATCATTCCAAGTTCCAACATTCTTTTCCTGCCTGTAGTAATAAACTAATAACTATTATGCAAGAGAATAGTAAACACATGAATGAGGAAGACTCTTACGGAGTGCATGATGCCAAGAGCATCTGGATTTTGAACAAGGATATCAGCAACCCACTATGTGTTTCATTTTTTATCAAGTATAAAATACCTACGCGTAGATGATAAAAATAAAATTATTAAAAGCCGGAAGAAAACTACAAGGAACACACTTCAAACAGCAATACAGAAAGCTGCACCTTCTTGAAATCGGCAAAGAGTGGAAAGCATATTGAATTAGTACGATATGATTGCATACCTGTATGTAGTTGCACTAATATATGTCCAAGAGAGCTTGAAAGAGTGGTAAAGGCCACGGGTCTTGGGGATTCCTTGAATTCTGCCACCTGAAGAAAAACGCAGGAAGGTGCATCCAACATTGCCCTAATAGTTGAGGCAGAAGCAATCCGGGCCTAAGCAAGAACAAGTTCTTTGTGTCAACAAGTATTCTGACAAGAAGGCATATATGTCTTATGATTTACCAAAAATGGAAGAACACAACAGCTGGACCTTATGTGAAATGTTGGCTACAATATTAGCAGATTAATTTTATTAAAACTCCTGAGATAAAAATGATATGAATTTGCACTTTAAGCATAAAAATAGAGACGTTTGGATCATCTATCACGTGAAGATGAACAGTTGTACTTTATTATGTGTTTTCTTAAACTATATTTTATTATCTCTATAACATAAATATTATCATAAATATTAAAACAACTATATATTTGAATTCAAATATTGAATAGAATCCAATTCACAAAAGGTTTAAGAAAAATAATGTATTATATATAAACATAGATATTCTAGGCACCGACTAATCCTCGCCTAGACCTCTAGATATTGTGACCATGTCTGCCACCAAAATAGCACCTTTTAAAACTGCTTCAAGCAAGGCTCAAAGAATAAGCAACCCCTTGGTTTTTTCCTCATGCCATTAAGGTACGTTTCTCATTACAGTGAAGATGATGATAAATCTTTTTCAACCTTAACTATATTGGGATTGTTTGATTGAGTTAAGTTGCTACAAATTTTTTAAAGTGGACAATCAGACCATGTGTATAGAAGGGAATCTTTGCGGAAAAGGATGACACTAAGGGCCTGTTTGGAACCTGGAAGACCTAGCGAAAGAAAATTATAGAGAAAACAGAAGGAGGGTTACGAAGGAAAGAAACCTTTGGTGAAAATATTAATAAGGTTCAGATTTAGTAAATCAATTTTACATATTTGTTCAAACTCATTTCTTATAAATTGCTATTATATAAAGACTAAGAAATATAAAAAAAAAACTAAGAAATATCATGTGAAGTCTTAACAGGTTTCAATTAAATCTGATTCTCCTTCATATTTTCCAAGGCAAAAGAAACATAAAAAATATTTTCCTAAGTATCTTTTTCCCATTATCTAACACTTTCCAGGTTCCAAAATATGCTAATAGGAGACAGGATATGTGAACTGTGAAAACAAAAAATACCTTCATATATGGATCAAACAGTAAGCAACTCATTAGTGTCGCTGCATACCTCCTGCAAAAACAATATTGGAAGGTATACAAATATAATGAAGAATAAAAGAGGATGCACATGGAGGCTTTAAAATTAAGCATTTTATAGACAGGATGGTAGGGGGTAGGTAAACCTAGTTCAGGGGCGGATCCAGGAATTTGAGATGCCCTGGGCTGAATAGAAATTATACTATGTTTAAATATTAGAGTGGTGGGCTAAACGTGAAAAATAAAAAAATTTACACTAAAAAAATCGAAAATTTTCTAAATTGCCATGGGTTTCAGCCTACCGTAGCCCGTGCATAGATCTTCCCCTGACCTAGTTATTGTCATAATCTAGTCAGTAAAATGTACAACTCAATTATATAACGAAGAAGCAAAAGGCACACCTTGGCTGTAGAACATCATTGGATGGCAAGAGGTTTACCCATTGGGTTGTAAATGATTTTGGATCAGCTCGACAAAGATCCTTCCAGTTAAACCCGACAGTTAATACAATAGTATATCATAGTACATGACTCGGTCTCACAAAGTGATTCAATAAGAGCTAAGTAGTGCATATAGGTACATAGGACGCCCTTAACCTCACTATCCCATCAAGATAAACCAAACCCATTACATGCATTAGCTTTTCACAATTCAAACTTTATTGACTACTGTGATTCAATATTACAGCTATGGCACATTGATACATAACCATGCAACACCGAAGGTGGAAAGAAAAAATTGGACCAAAAGGACATAAAGCCATAATGGGACTTCAAGTTTCACCAATAGGTCAGTTACACAAGAGAGTAGACAACTCTTGAAAAACTGGATAGCAGACTTGGGTAAAAAAATGAGTTTGCATTGACCTACTTGAATGCACAGAATTGCAGCCAGTCGAGTCTTAGCATATCGAACATAGCAACTGTTTTTTCCTAATCCATCGCTATCACTGTTTTCTGAATCAGATGATGACTGATAATCCGTCAAGCATTTATGAATTTCAGAAGAGCTAAGACATTTATCATCCATCTGGTTATGCTTTTTGAAGTTCTTATTTCGCAGGTGAGGAGGCCTGTATGGTTTCATAGGTTCCAAGAAGCTCTGTTTCTTATATCCGGAAACATTGTGATCAACAACTGGATATGCAGAATTGGATTTGATATTGATGCCATAATGGAGAAACATCCTAAGAGCCGCTACAAAACCATCCACCTGCAAAATGAGAAATGAACTAGTAATTGCCTCGACTACACAATGAGTTAATTGGCATTACAGAAAACAGTTTTGATTACCACAAATGACCAATTGTGTGTGAAATAGTACACTAGTACAATGGATAGTGGAAAATGTTTTCTTTCTTGAATTTTGTTCGATTAAGTGGTACAGAAAAAGATGAGTCATTCTGAATTATCCATGTCTCTGCAGTCTGGAGTACTCTGATATACTCTAAGTGAGTCTAGAAACACATATATGTGTGGTATATGATGTGAATCTTACTATCTTAGTGAAAGTGGTAAATAGTACTCCCTCCGTCCCGAAATAATTGTCTTGTTTGCTTTAGCACAAGTTTGAAGAAAGTGGTTGAAAAAGTAAAAGTTGTGGTTGAGATTTGAGTAGAAAAAAGGTGAAAAAATTGTCTAGGAACACATATATGTGTGGTATATGATGTGAATCTTAGTGAAAGTGGTAAATAGTACTCCCTCCATCCTGAAACAATTGTCTTGTTTGCTTTAGCACAAGTTTTAAGAAAGTGGTTGAAAAAGTAAAAGTTGTGGTTGAGATTTGAGTAGAGAAAAGGTGAATTGATATGAGCCACATGTTATTGTCAAAACAGGAAAGAGGACAATTATTTTGGGACATCCCAAAAAGGAAAACAAGACAATTAATTCAGAAAGGAGGGAGTAATAAATAAGATATGAAGTTCAATTAGTCGACGCTCTATTCTTGAATATGCATCAAAACAAGTTTTATTGCCCGATTTCTTGAAACTTATCCATGTGTGAAGTCATGAAAGATATTGTATTCTGCATCTGAACCATAAATATCACACTATTCTTTTCGGATGCAAGTGTTTATCAAACTGCGGGTACCAATAGTCTAATGGGGACTAAGTCAATCGTTACGCACTTGGTCCAGTGATCATAGCCACAGTCATGTGCCGCCCATCAGTGGCAACACGGTAGTTATGTGTTGGCGCGTGTTGCCATCTATCACAATCTTTTTCAGTTAAACTTTCCAAATAGCTTCATCTCTCCAGCAACCTTCCATTTTTTTCGGTTTCTGTTAGGGGAGAAGTTTCAGACAGCGAGAAAACTCTAACTGCAGGAGTTGTAAGAAGACCAACTATATATGCACCTCAAATATCTCGACTAATCAAGTTATTACTTCTAAAATGTTATATGAGTCACAAATTTATCTATCTTGTGGGTGGCTGCTGATATGCGGTTTACTTTCTTAATTCTTCTTTGTCCCACTCGCCACTGCTATTGCCATAGGAAGCAAAATGAAGCTCTAACTATAAAGGATAATGGGAGTGTTTAAATTGATTCTGCTTCTGCTTCTTTAAAAGCAGGAGTAGAATCGGAATCAGTTTTTCAGAAGTTGATCTCCTCCAGCTTCTAAAAGCTGCTTCTAAGAGCAATTTGGAGCACTTAGAAGTACTTCTGCAATTTCAAAACTGCCTTTCCGGTACCATTTTTCCTTTTATGGAATCTTTATTGCTTTTTGCATTAGATATATAGGATTAATATTATTAGGAGTGTGTAGCATACATACTTTAGTATTACCCATACAAGGCCGAGTAGTCACCGAGTCCATTCTGGAGTAATCGGTCATAATTGTCACTCGGCCTTTGGCTGAGTAGCTACCTAGTAACAATTTAACAACTTAGCCTAGGAGTGTGTATGTGATGTGTGTGTGATGTGTCTTTGTTGATTGTGGTAAATTGAAATGCATATGAAATAAAGGTCCATTATCCAACACTCTCTTAAGTTAGGTCCATTAAACAAATTTCACATGCATAAAGTTATGTTTACAACCATTACCTACCTACTTGCAGCTACAGTGACGCCACTTCCTACCTTGACCAATAGAGGATCTTTCTTCCAACTTCAGCTTTATAAATTTCTTTCAAAGTTTCATTCTTTTCACTAACATACTATAAAACACTTCAAGTTCAACTGTTTTCCAATTTCTAAAATTAAAGTACAGATTATTTGAAGTATAAATGGTCTGGTCTGAAAAAAAAAATACAGTTAACAAGTATTTTATTGATATAGAGAAATCAATTTTCTTACATGACCTGACAATGGTCCTTTTGGATCTTCAAGAACAAAATGCAGGCAATTCAGCAATGAGGTGTAAAACCTGCAGATTAGATATGAAAATTTTAGCATTGAACAGATATAAGCTGTCATTCAAGTTAGATTAAAGTTCAATCAAAGAGAAGAGAGTACACATTGCCATAACATTGTCTTCGATCAAAGTGCCTTTAGATGCCAAGAGATCTAGACTGCTTCTAACAACCTGAACCATGTAAATTAAACCTAAGTTGACAGGTTAATAGAAACAAAAATCTGTATAAACCGGTGTGCATACCCTGATTGTTGATTCCCAAACATCAACAGGTAAAGAAGATCCAACTCTTGAGTAAACATCGCCAATCATTGAGAAAGCAACGATCTGAACTTCCCGCACACCAGCATTTCGAGATAAAATCTTGTCGCTAGAATAAAGTGAATCATGCAAATGTGGTTGAAAGTGAACAACAACATTAAGAGCAAAATCGAATAGTGGCTTGTTTTCCAATAACATGGTTGCTCTCTCACTAACATTGAAAAGGCGTCTGTATAAAAAAAATGGGAAACATTAGCCGAACAATAAAAAAGAATGCCATTATTGAGTAGTTGAAACTTGCAAGTAAAGAGAATCAGTTGAAGAATAAAATTTTCAAACAAAAAGAGAATTTTGATAACTAAAGGATGCATGTACTTTGGAACAGAACCAAGTTAGTGTTGCTAATACAAGTTCCAGCACGAAAAAAATGAGGCAAGAAGGAGAACATACTTTGCTATCTCCAGACACTGTTTTGTGGATGTAACTATAGCAGCATTGCTCATAAAAGCCTTGTCTGTCTTGGTTTTATTGAAAAGAATTTCTACTGTACTACTTAAGAAGTCAAGCACAAGAGGCAAAGAACTATGACTTATTTTAAGAGGAACGAAGTTGCTGACAGTGTAAACCTGCAAAAGCGAGGAAAGAATGGCATTAATAGCACTCATCTTTTAAACTTTAAAGTAAAAGGTAAAAATAGGTATAGAATGTTATCCAATAAAAATAAATAAGTTACAGGCACATGAAATCCTATATTAGGATGTTTTTACTTGGACTGATTTTTTCTGGTGTGATCTGGTCTGGCCCGAACTGTTCGTAAATGTCTGGTCTTTGTGTATTTTATAATATCCAAGTCTGATTTGATCTGATTTGGTCTGGGACAGAAAACAGTCCAAGTAAAAACATCCTAACACACGTGGAAAAATATGAAATGTTAATTAGAAGCAAATCTGCACATGTGTAATGAACCGCTCAAGTAGAATAGAAGGTTACCAAAAGAAAACAACCTTACGAATAGAATCATCTGAGAAAGAAAGTGATTCAAGCCAAGTATAACATAACCGTAGCATATACACCAGATGAATTGTCCTCTAAATTAGTAAGGTGCAAACTCTTCAAGTAGTGGCATGCAAGTAATAACAGATACTTACTATATCAATAAAACAATGATATTATTGAAGTGTTTGTACTATGGAAAAATATAAAAATTTGAATGAAATGTCTTGTTGCCAGCACTACTAACCAAGTGGGAGAGCTGCATATAGATGTCTACAATATTACATGCATCAGAAATGGAGATGCTTTGAGCCAAACCCATCACAAACAGCAAGTCCGAAGTGACCTAAAGAAACAGAAACGGAAGACACTGAGTCTGGGCAGCCACAAAAACAGCTGCATAGCACAAGGGGCAAAAAGAAAGTACATAAAACGGTGCAGAAATCAACACCTCGTGAGGAGGCAAGTCGGCGGACACCTTGATCAGAGCATTCGATTGAGACAAAATGAGATTTTGAAGCAGGTGGGCGACATTGGTGGGCGGTGGTGAGGTCAGTGTTTCGTCCCTCAGGGTAAGAAAGGCCGTCCTCCATGACCTGACGGACGAAGAAGGGGAAACTGGGTCGGACGAATCCATAGAGCAGAGCACTCCTTACCCCGCTGTTCAGGACTTCAGGCAAGAATGTGGATTACTGCTTTTTGGGAAATTAGCTAGAAAAGGTAAAAACTTGATGAAGCCAGGTGAAAATGACACATGCGGCGGAAGTGCCCGCACCGTCAGCCGGCCACAGGCGGAGCTGCGGAGGGAGTTTTTCACGGTTAGTTTTTGATAAAAGGTTTCATCCTGTTTTTAGTGCGGCTAAATATACTACATTTTGTTTTACTTCTTTTCAAACTTTTTTTCCATTCCAATTAATAGGTTGGGAAAATTACTATTAGCCCCCGAGGTTATGTCATAATTATTATTGCAATCTTACATTTTCAAAATTCAATTGTTTACCCCTTTAGTTTTGGTCATTCTCACTATATGTCCCCTCGTTTTAATATTTATTAAATTAAATTAAATATAACTCTTAAATTCAATGTAAGTTGTTTATAAATTAATTTCCAAAGTATGACATAATTTATTATCATAATTATAAGTCATTGTTGTTGATCGTTATTTTTATACTTAGTTACTCGATCGTGGAATAACTATTAATGTGAGTAGTTAAGGGGAAGATTCACGAGTAATATTCATGGGATACATCAAAGAAAGTCATTAAAAAAATGTGTTGTGAAAATTATAGGCACTTCATCATGAATATAAAAGTATTTGAAATTCATCTGGTTGAATTATTCTCAATGACCTTTCTTTCATGTGTAGCAAAGAAGCTAGAAATACCAAGAAAAAAGGAATTTCATTATGTCATGACCTAAAAGATAGATCAAGCATCAATAAGCGACCTAAAATATAGAATGTATCGGTATAGGAGCTAAATAATTGAAAGCTATTAATCTAAGACCTAAAATAACATGGATTTTGATTTATTTAAATATTTTATTTACTCTGTTACTAATTTGTGATGATTCTATCTTCACAATTTTTTTAGAGTAAAAAGTCTATTAGTTTATAAGATTGAATGATATTTAATTTTCTATAATAGAAATATCGAAATTCGTGATATTTTATATCTTACGTAATACTTGTGAGTATTTTCCCTTAACTACTCTCAATAATATTTATTCCACGATGGAGTAGCTAAGTAGAAAAATAATGATCAACAATAATGAATTATAAATATGAAAATAATTTGTGTTTTAATTTAAAAATTAATTTATAAACAATTTTCATTGACTATAAGAGTTATATTAAAGTTGGTTTAACAAATATTAACATGAGGGGCAAATTAAGAATGAGAATGATCCAAACTTAGGGGGTAACTAATTGATTTTTGAAAATGTAAGGTTGCCTTCATAATTATGACATAACCTCAGAGGGCTAATAGTAATTATCCCTAATAGGTTTTCTTTCAATTTTGACATGCGATTCAAAAATATTTAATTTTTTTAAAAGGTTTTAATATATATTTTAAAACTGTAAATAATTAGTTTTACATTGCTTTAACTCTCATATTGCCCTCAAAAAAATTATAAAAGATAACTTAAAAGTTTCTAATGGATTTACGCAACTGACAATATTTTTTCAAAAATAGTGAATTCAGAATTACAAATTGACTAAAAATAAAATAATTTATATTACATGGCTGAAAAACTAAAAAATTGTCATATCAAATGAGTTGATTGACTGTCAAAATGTATTAATGCATATCAAATTCTTTTTTCTAAATATGCTCAGACACATAATATTAGTGATGGATAATAGGGTATCCAAACTATACAACTTAAGAGAGGTTAGAGCTAAGAAGGGGAGAAGAATATGAATAGTATATTGAAAGTCTAAATATTGATTAGGTTTACAAGTCCTTCCAAAGAGAATATATATTGAGAAACAATGGGTCAGGCCGCTAATATGGACCGATAGGCTTAAATGTACTATGTAAAAGTCTGATCTAGTAGATACAATTGAAATGTAAATTGTATAACAATGTGAATGATATCCAATAAGTGTGTGGGGGCCACTGTTAAGACATAATAGTCGTGAGACTGAGGGTCATAATCTATATACTCTATCAATTAGTAAATGGGAATATTTAATTTTTAACTCATACGAGATATGAGAGGAGCGGTGATGGAATAAACCCTAGCCGCCGCCTCATCTCTTATCTTCTTTCAAATTTTTCTTTTGGTTTTTAATATGAAAAATATCATATGTTGAAAGGAAACGCAAAAATTACGAGGAATGGGAAACGTCAATTTTTGCTCAAAAAATACTTGTTTGGAGAGTTTCAAAGAGCTTCCGTAGAGTTTCCGAAACGAAAAATGTACTCTTTCTTGAAAGTTTCCGTGCTACATAGAAAATATCACCTTACCATGTATTCTTAATTCATCGTGCATGTTTCTTAATGAGCAATGTTTATAGATTTTGTATTCGGCGACAGCTCCCCGTGTATCAGGTGTTTATTCCCCGACATTTGTTTATCGGGTGTTCTTCTCTACTACTATAAAAAGTTTGTGTTGATTTATTCGGCAATCGCTAGAACTAATTTCTTCTACACCAACGTTGAGGGGCTGATCGTGATGTGTAAGATGGTGATGATCATCCCATGGCCCTTGGCCTGTCGGTGAATAATAATCATCTTGAAACTACTATCATGCCATCATATTCATAACATATAAACATACACAATTTATTCAATAAATTTGTGTATCATGCAAACTATACTTATAATCAATAGTAATTTCACTTAGGCATTATTAACCATTAATAATCCATGCAAATCACATTGTGTATTCATTTAGGAAATCTCATGAAATTAACCCAAAGGTTATAAGCAATATAGTCGGTCATCCTAACCTTACGTGAGCTTAAGCATGTTCTACGCTCCCCGGTTGAACTTTGACTAATTCCGGCGGACTTTGACCAACTCCGGCGAACTTTGACCAACTCCGGCGAAACTCCGGCGAAGCTCAAAAATACTTTAATCAAGTTCCTAACAAGGTTTTAACATCATAAAACCTAAATCAATACAAATAACCTCTAAAAGGTTATTTTCCGGTGAACCGGTCGTTTTGGCCTCTAAGTCCATTCTTGGACATAGAACCACTTCCCAACCCAATATTCCACACTCATATCATGTGGAACCATCCTATGGAACCTTCACATGATATATACCTCATATGATAGAAGGAAAATAAAGGAAAAGTTATGATAAGGTCATTACCTTAATTTTCACACTTTTTCCTAACTTTTTCCTTCTTTAATCTTCCTCCTTGGAGCTCCTTTGCTTGAGATCGAATTTGCTATGGAGGATGGTGGTTTGCAGAGGTTTCTTCTTCCCTTGGTGTGTCTTGGCCGAACTCAATGAGTGGGAGAGGAGGGAGGATAGTTTCTTTTGTCTTTCTTTGCAAATGAGTAAGGAAATGGGGGTCCACTAGGTGTCAAAGGTGTTCCTCCCATCCTTTCACTTGTCCTCCAGCCCTCCTAGCACTCAATAAGCCCCCTTTGGGTTGACAATTTCGTGGGGTGGCCCCCACCCATGTGGGAGGTCATCCCAATTCGTCCCGAAGTGTACAATCGGTCCCGAAAGTTGTAATTTTCGGACTGTTTTAAATATATTTTATTTTACCGGGCCAAATAAAATATATTATGTGTTCTAAATTATTATGACATTAATAATGAATATACATTCCCCAACTTTAATTTATAAGTCTCCGAAATCCAATTCCGGGCTTTTACCTGTTAAATTACCAGTACCGGTGTTTGGGCCTCTTTTGACCAATCGGTCAACTTTGGGCCTTTCCATTGCTCAAATGAGGTATCCACCACCATATAAATATTATCTAGACCAAGATGAATAAAATATATGGTCCCGGAAATATCGGGCGGCCCCCGCCCTTGGTGTGGGCCCCGCACGCAATTTACTATTCACGCGAATGAAAATAATCAAATTTCACAACTTCGTATATTTATTAACCATTTCATAAGGTTCAATACAATATTCACTTAAAAGTAAATACATTTGGGAACGGTGTTACAAGTTCACCCCCCCCTTATTTGGGATTTCGTCCTCAAAATCCGCGTGTCTAATCGAAAAGAAACGGGTATTGTTCCCTCATTGAGACCTCAGTCTGCCAGGTTTCTTCTTCGACTCGATCACTCCTCCAAAGAACCTTTACCATCGGAATCTCATTGTTCCTCAGTTTCTTCACCTGTTGACCCAAAATTTTTACCGGTTCCACCGCATATTGTAGATCCTCACGTATCTCCACCGGTGGCTTCTCAAGAATATGAGACGGATCTCTCACGTATTTCTTGAGCATAGATACATGAAACACGTCGTGTATCTTCTCAAGTTCCGGCATCAACTTGAGACGGTAAGCCACCACCCCAATCCTTTCAAGGATTTCAAACGGACCAATGTATCGGGGGTTGAGTTTTCCCCTCGATATAAATCGGATGATACCCTTCCAAGTAGAAATCCTTAGGAAGACCTTATCACCGACCTCGAACTCCAATGGCCTGCGCCGTTTGTCGGCATAACTCTTCTGCCGATCTTGGGCAGTCTTGAGTCTATCCTGAATGACTTTCACCTTAGCCTTGGTGATCTCAACAAGTTCAACCCCTTCGAGCTTGGCCTCGCCAACCTCGTCCCAACACAACGGTGTTCTGCATTTCCTCCCATACAATGCCTCATATGGAGGCATGCCAATACTCGCCTGATAACTGTTGTTAAAGGCAAACTTGACCAGAGCCAAATGCTTGTCCCAACTCCCTTGGAACTCCAGAGCACATGCCCTAAGCATATCTTCCAGAATCTGTATCACCCTCTCGGATTGCCCATCCGTCTGTGGGTGAAAAGTTGTGCTAAACTTTAGCTTTGTTCCCAAGGATGCTTGAAACTTGGGCCAAAATCGAGATGTGAATCGTGGATCCCTATCCGAAACAATGGATATCGGGACTCCATGTAGTCTCACAATCTCCTCCGTGTATAGCTTTGCCAATCGTTCAAGAGGATAAGTAATGTTGATAGGCAAAAAGTGTGCACTTTTGGTGAGCCTATCAACCACTACCCATACTGCATCATAGTTGTTCACTGTTCGTGGTAGCCCCACCACGAAGTCCATAGTCACATGCTCCCACTTCCATTCTGGAATGGTCAGTGGCTGCAAAAGCCCCGCCGGGTGCTGATGCTCTGCCTTAACTTGTTGGCAAGTAAGGCATCGACTCACGTACTCTGCGATGTCCCTCTTCATACCCGACCACCAGTAATTTTCCTTCAAGTCTCGATACATTTTAGTACCTCCTGGATGCATAGCATATGCCGAAGAATGAGCCTCCTCTAGTATAGACTTTTGGAGCTCTTCACTCTTCGGTATGCATACACGGTCCTTAAACAATAAAAGGTCGTCATCACGTACCCGAAAGTTCTCCACGGGCCCTTCAAGAATCCACTCGCGGATCTTCTGACATTCTTCGTCAGTGGCCTGACATCTACTGATCTCACCCAGCAATGTAGGCCTAACCTCGAATCTAGCAATGAGGACCCCACTCGTGGACACTTCCACTTGTGCCCTCAAAGTTCGTAGACATGTGAGTAATGTCCCCGACGTACTCTTCCTGCTCAGTGCATCGGCCACTACATTGGCCTTTCCGGGATGATAGTCGATGATCAAGTCGTAGTCCTTGATCAACTCCATCCATCTCCTTTGTCTCATATTCAACTCTTTCTGAGTGAATACATACTTCAGGCTCTTATGATCGGTGAAAATGTGACATGTCTCCCCATAGAGGTCATGCCTCCAAATCTTCAGTGCAAACACTACCGCTCCCAACTCTAGATCGTGGGTAGGGTAGTTCGCCTCGTGTTTCTTCAATTGCCTAGAAGCATAGGCAATCACCCGACCGTTTTGCATTAGCACACACCCAAGTCCTTGAATGCTAGCATCGCTGTATATATCATACCCTATCCCTTGTGTGGGTAGAGCGAGAACCGGTGCTTCTGTAAGCCGTTTCTTTAGTTCAAGAAACCCTGTCTCGCACTTGTCGTCCCATATGAACTTGGCCCCTTTCTTTGTGAGCTTTGTCAATGGAGACGCCATTACGGAGAATTTTTCAACAAACTTACGATAGTAACCCGCTAGGCCAAGGAAACTACGTATCTCTTTCACATTTTTGGGTCTCTCCCAATTCATAATGGCTTCTATCTTGGCTTTATCCACCGAAATGCCTGAACTTGACACGACATGCCCGAGAAACCCAATCTCTTTGAGCCAAAACTCGCATTTAGAGAACTTGGCAAAGAGTTGTTTTTCCCTTAGCCGTTCAAGTACAAGACTCAAATGATCTTCATGCTCCTCTTCATTCTTGGAGTATATCAAAATGTCGTCAATGAATACTATCACAAATTGATCCAAGTATTCACTGAACACACGGTTCATCATGTCCATGAATGCTGCCGGTGCGTTGGTTAGACCAAATGACATCACCAAAAATTCGTAGTGACCATATCTCGTGCGAAAAGCACTCTTAGGTATGTCACTCTCCTTTATCTTCAACTGATGGTACCCCGACCTTAAATCAATCTTCGAGAATACTGTTTCCCCTCGAAGTTGATCAAACAAGTCATCGATCCTCGGTAACGGATACTTGTTCTTGATTGTGACTTTGTTCAACTGTCGGTAGTCAATACACATCCTTAGTGTGCCGTCCTTCTTCTTTACGAAGAGTACGGGTGCTCCCCACGGTGAATGACTGGGCCTAATGAACCCGTTGTCCAATAGCTCTTGAAGTTGAACCTTCAACTCCTGAAGCTCGGCCGATGCCATTCGATAAGGAGGAATCGAAATGGGTTTGGTCCCCGGTTCAACTTCAATTACAAACTCTATCTCTCTATCGGGTGGGAGCCCCGGTAAGTCCTTTGGAAAGACGTCCGGGTACTTGCACACGACACGTACATCATTGATGTCAACTTCTTTCTTTGTGTCGTCTACCACGTACGCGAGGTATGCGTGGCACCCCTTCTTTATCATCTTCCGTGCCCTCATCACAGATATGATACAAGTTTGAGATTTTCCACGATCTCCCTCAAAGTGTAACGGGTTTCCTGCGTCATCTTCAAGCTCCAACACTTTGGTGTAACAATCTACTCGAGCATGGTGTTTCTCGAGCCAATCCATTCCTAGGATAGCATCGAACTCCAACATGCTTAGGGGTACGAAATCACAAGTCAAGGGTTGACCCGTCACTTCCACCTCACATGATGGATAGAAATGATTCCTCTCCACGTCGTCTCCTAACGGTGTGGAGACTAACAATGTTTGCGTCATAGGTGTTAATGGCACGTCAAGGCCCTCGGCGAACGCCTCACTCACAAATGAGCGTTGTGCCCCGGTATCGATGAGGATCCTCGCACACCTATCGTTGATCTTTAACGTTCCTACATTTATACACCATGTAAGATACCTTTTCTGATGTTTTCACACACTTTTAGGAGGTTATTAGGTTCATATTACTGTTTGGAATCAAACGGGGGTCCATTCGTAGAAGAACGGGGCGGAAAAATCAAGTTTCGGGCGACGGGAGTCCACGCACGGTCGTGCGTAGGACACGCACGGTCGTGCGTGCGTGAAAAGCTGGGATCCCGCCACTGCCGGCTACGCACGATCGTGCGTACCCGGCCACGCACGATCGTGCGTCCACGCACGGCGTGCGTACCGGCACGCACGGCCGTGCGTCCTGCGCGAACAACACCCCTGAGCTTCTGCCCCCTACGCACGATCGTGCGTGGGGTTGGACGCACGATCGTGCGTGGGGTTGGACGCACGATCGTGCGTCCCTGTTTTCAGCCAGTTTTGGCCCGAATTTTCCCGGTTTGACCCTGGGATGGCCCGTACCCAATCCCTATGACTTATATCATCAATTTACGGATTAAACATGGACAAAAATACCCTTTTGCAAGAGATAATACCTGCAACGGAATCCGGGTTTGCTCGAGCATCCGCTTCCGTCATCGCATAAACTCTAGCTTGAGTTCTCCCCTGATTCACGGACGGCGCATTGCTCGTGCTTGCTCCCCCTTGGCCCGTACTAGCATGAGGTGCTCCAGTTCGGTTCCTACTCGCCGTGGTAGCGCCACTCAGTCCTGACCCCCGGTTCCCACCAAGTTGAGGGCAGTTTGGCTTAATGTGCCCCATATCTCCACATTGGTAGCACCGAGGAGGGTCACGACACTTACCCCCGTGGTTCCTGTTACAGTTCCTGCACCTAATCACCATTGGGGCTTGCGAGCCCGAGTTCTGCCCACCCGTGCCTGAGCTTCCCCTAGATGGTGGTGTCGGTGCCCTGAATGATCCTCCTCCCCCATGGTTCCCCTTCTTATTAGAACCTTGGGGGCCATGGTTCTCCCATTTCCTCTTCTTTGCCTCC